GTAGGAGTGTGCGAGGGTATCTCCGCACCGGCACATAATCTCATATATTTCATAGCACTGCACATGTCAGGTTCAGCTAGACGTAGGTTTCGGCCTCTCAATTCTGTAACTTTGGTTTTTTGACCGAACCATCCGCCCACTCCTGATATTGGTCGCTCGGACGCTTACTGCCTTTCGTTTACTAAGGATGGCGTCAAAGCACAAAAGGGACAAAAGGTACTCACCGGTGTGAGGAGAAGGTACATTGATGATTGTTGGAGGTCCACCCGCTGTCTGTACTTGCTTCACAGTCGCGCCGTCGAAGGTTTCATACCGCAACAAAACATAATCAATCATCAGGGCACCGGTCTGGTACAGTTTCTTGACGAAAGAAACAACCATATCCGTAGCGAAGCCTTTCTCAACCACAACACGACCTAGAAAGCGACCCGCAACCTCGCCACCTTATCAGATGGCAGATTTTACATCAGCTAGGAACTTCGTTCACTCACTTCCAGATCAATGGATTCGAGGTGTCTCCAGTCACCGCTTACCACCGCGACGCATCGATAGATGCCGTGGTACGTGCGGTAATGATTCCGCTCGTCAATACCCCAGAGGTGATACGAGTGGTTTGGGACGGGTTTATAGCGATACTCTTCAGGAGCTTGCGCTCTCCCATTGTATAGGACCGAAGGCAACGGCACGACGCATCCCCCGGTTTCACCTGCCCATATGATACTCCGGGGAGCATTTGAGGAGAAAGGTTCTTCTCCCCTTTGCATTCTCAGCCAAGAATGGAAGGCGTAGTTTGGGGAGCTGGAGAATACCTTTGCTGGGTCGCCTTAAGCGGGAGGTGAGGCCGAGTGCAACTTCGGAACGGAACAAGACGTACTTGCGTAAACCAGCGCTTTCCTTCTGCGGACATGAACGCGGGTGGATGTCTTGGTGGCAGGTCAATAAATTTGCCGTCAAGAAACTTGCGCAAGTTTGACACATTCTGGTGAGGTGAGCTTGTTGTACCATACCCCACCTGGCACGAGCGCCGTATGCACATACCGCCAAGGGCTTAGGTCGCACGGCCGCCTTTTCCGTCTCGTGCGTTTCATTGAGTAGATCACAAAGCTTCGCTACTTCCTACGTGGCCGTGTGTAGAAGATCGTGACAGGTCGATGAAGGTGGGACAAACCTTTTCCAATTCTTTTTGGACAGCCACTGCGTTCTGCCTCCCTGATTCTGATTCTTCCAATTTCGTGCTGAGCAGATCCACTTGTTTTCCCTACGCGATATCAACTCGAAAATAGACGACAGAAAGCAGGGAGGGAAGCGAACCAACTCCTGCCCACGCTGCTCGCTTTCCTTGAGCTTTTCCTCTAATGCAGCGACCTGGTGTACCCTGAGCGATGTAACTGATGTAAAATCACAGTACCGACCTCCCCAACACCCGGCCTCCGTTCCAGTTCGGATTTATGTTTTTCTATCTCTTCCAAGAGACGTTGGGTGTTACCTTCGTGCGATGCATTCTCCTCCGTCTTGATGGAAGCCCTGCTCAACAGGCCCTGTTGGGTTGAGATCGCCTCGTACAGCGCGGAACGATTTTGCATCATATGATCGCACCTGAAGTTGAGCGTTTTCGCTTCTCAGGTTTACGATTTTCCTGTTCAGGGCTGTGAGAACCTCCTTTGCAACTTCTGGGTCAAGATGATCTTGAATTTGGTCCATGATTACGATGAAAGGTGCAGTTTGGGGGTGGGATGGAAACCGATCGCGCCCGGAGGCACGAAGCGGATCGGGACTGCTCTAACGGTGACTTCCTAAAAGGGGAGTATAGGCGCTGTGGCCGCAAAGGCAGGTTACATTCTGTCACACGAACGCAGATGGGGCCAACTACAGAATAAATCCCATAACATACGCCTTGGGCCGCTGCGGCTGTCCGACAATCGCCCCAACGAGAATTTTAATAGGGCGCCTCGCCAGAGCCTTCGCTTTGGAATGCCAAGCATTCTGCCTTCAGGGAGCCAGTCGCGTACATGTGTCGAACTAGGGACTCGATGGCTGGAGCAGCAAGATCTTTCTCGACTACCAGACGGTTCAAGAAGGATGTCACGAACTTGCCGCTTCGTCAGAGGGTGAGCCCCATGATTACGGAGGACGGTGCTTACTCCCTGACCAAGTGATGTTAGTACATTCCACTCCACCGGGGCCCTTTTGATGCACCGATAGGATCCATAGTAGGTGGCATTCGCATCCACGAAGACTTCATACAAGAAGTCTGTAACGACGTTGCCATGAAATGGTTCCGTGAGCTGTGTCTTTCCGTTATAGATCACCGAAGGCAAAGCGACCACGAATCGTCCGCCTTGATCTGCCCATTTGATCGCGCCAGCCTCCTTGAGGGGGAAAATATTGTTGTCCCTTGGGGTGGAGGAGGTCAGGAATGGGTCTCAGCTCTAGCAGTGCAGCGCATACTTTCTCTTTTTGGGGAGTGGTTCGAGCAAAATGCAAGATGGAGAAGTGTCATCAAGAATGCATGTAAACCTCAACTCACCGCTTTCAACCTACGTACTTCTTTCAAATTCAAGGCCCTAGGGCTGGGCTTGGAAGGAACTTCACCCAACCCTCCACGGAGAAACTCGCGAATGTCGAATGTATGCTTATGATTGGAGAACGTCACTCGGACATGACGAAAAGACAATATAACATGTACCCACCGCCTGCTGGGCCTCGAGTCGCGCAATAGCTTCTTCTTTCTTCTGTATCTTTTCCTTGAAGTCCTTGCCAAGCTTCTCGACCTCCTGTACAATAATGAGTTGTCCATCTAACGGATCTCAGGAAGAGGACGAACCCACTCCAGCTCCTCTTTCAGGCCCTCTTGATCATCCTTACCAGATTCTGCTTCATACAGTTGCGAGGTTAAGTAGTTTATCTGGTCTCGCTGCGTGACATTTATATTTAGGGGGTAATGGTGATGAAGCAGGAGAATGTTCGCACCCATTCCCGTTTGCGGTCCTTGTGTTTCGCAATTTTTCCTTCCATTTCATCGACCTAAGACACGGTGAGAGAAGGGGGGGATGCACGGGGGCGTTACGCACCACATCCTGGCTCGGTCTCTGCGACAGCTCATCCTTCAATCCGTCTATCTCTTCGAGGAGATCGTCATAACTCCGAACACTTTCACCGGTGTTTTCATCCCCTGAAATGCCCAATTGATCCTGTTTAATTTGAATTGCGTTAGAGTGTATGGGGAAGGGTTCGCTGGATTTCGATGATAGTACCTTGAGCATTGAGTTCTCGTTCTTTAGGTTCGTCACCTCCTCGGTGAGACGTGATACGAGTTCCTGTGTGACTTTTTGATCCATATTTCGAGGTTGATCCATCTCTCTTTTTTATGATGATGAGAAATAGAGAAGGGAGTGGTATTACTGGTATCGATCATCCTCATTTAGGGGGAGTGAATGGGATGCCTGGCCCGCGTCGGCATCTCAGCGCGCGCACCACCAACGAGACCCAGACTATCACGTCATCCGTAGACCATAGATGAGTGCTTGGAAATTTTGTGGCGCGCAAACGCGAAATTTACCGCTGACGTATTGAACCCCTGTCCCACTGGAGTGACTAGGCGAGAACAGCACTCAGCGAGTAACCATAGCATGGTGTATTACGCGGTACGGGCCGCGACTAGCCATTCTCCTGCACGTTTCGTCCAAAGCCTCAACGTTGAGGTCATCACAACTCTCCAAGACGATAGCTTGTAGCCTCCACCGGCTATCTATCTCGAGGTGTCCCAGAAGGGCCCCGCCTTGGTCAAGTTCGTGTAGAGGAGGCTGATCTAGTTGTTACAACGGAGCAATCTGAAGGGATTAGGCCTACCTCGCACGCTTCCAAGTATCCAACGACAATGACCATGTGCATGGGTTCCCTCTTCCATGGGGCGGAGTATTTCGGGTTTAGACACAAAGTCACGTCCACCCAGACGCCTTTTCTCAAAGACGTGTCTGGGTCACATAACACGATTAAAGACGTGTCTACATCATAGGAGTACACCCTTTCGTACGCGATCAGCTCAGCGTAACCGGATAGAAAACCAAAAGTTACCTTCCATAAAGCCTCAACTTTTTGTTGACAAGCTCCAGCGAAACCTCGGATACTTTGACCAACTGAGCGGACTCGGGGTCGGACATTTGACACGGTGGTTGTGGAAGGGGATCGACATTCCATCTTCGGTCTGACGCGACAGAACGGCGGATCAAAATTCCTCCGTCGTTCTCCTCCGAAACCTGCAAAACCTCATGTTCAAGCGTCCGGTCGGAATCATCCTCACGACATGCATTAGACATCTTCACCGCCGAACAGCCGTGACATTACGCGTGCCTTTGAGGATACCCGCTGGCCAGCTACAGCGACGGTGCTATGCCACCCCTCCACCACAGCTTAACCACAGGTAAGTGCCACAAACCCCTTCCGCGAACTGCTGAGTCATGGTGATAGTGAATTGTCTGTTGAACGGTATCATGCCCTATCTGATGCGACGATGGATACGTTGTGGGAATCGCTGGAAGGACTATTAGACGCAGAAGGGAATCCAAACTACGAGGTGGAATACAATGTGCGTTGCGACTCCTGCCCCCACGCACGGTCTCACGAACCCCTTCCAGAGCGGGGTGCTTACGCTCAAGCTGGGTGACCATGGGACGTATGTTATCAACAAGCAACCCCCGAACAAACAAATCTGGCTGTCGTCACCGATCTCGTAAGCGAAATATGGCTTCAGTCTCATGCGATGAGCCTGACTTTGCACAGAGGGCCGAAACGCTATGATTACTCGGAGGAGAAGGACGGCTGGCTCTATACAAGAGATAGTGTGGCTTTGAGTGACCTCCTCAACGGTGAGATTGGCCAAATCGTTGGCCGACAGGTCGAACTAGGGTTAGATAATGTTTCCCAGCACACCAATTAATCTGTTTACTGCATAACCGCGTCTTTTCTGAGCTCGAGTTGAATGTGGAGGGGAGAAAAAATAACGCTGCCAGTAGGGTTTGAACCTACGCTCACAAAGTGAAACAGATGCCCTTGAATTAGATTCAAGTCTGTCGCCTTAACCTCTCGGCCATAGCAGCTTGATAACAATTCTGAGCAATATGCCTATGACCAGTCGTTTAATAAATTGCTGTGGCACGACAGACAAGATTCTCCCCGCCGACGTTTTTCAGATCTTCCCGAACCTCAAAATTCCCACGGATTCTCCCTTCCTTGAACAATCGCCACCCGATGTTATTCGACCCCCTAGATGCAGCCGCGGTGTGAGAGTGGTGGACCCGGGTCCTTTCAAAGCATCCCTCCGATCCATCACCCCCCCGCCCCGGATCTAGGCCTATTCGCGTCGATCTGCGCCTTTGCTGGGATTATTCTTGCTTGTTTGCAGACAAGGGATCAGCGTTGAACATTCAACACTCAATACCCTCGGAATGGCCACGAGGCAGCCCCATTACCGCATTCCATGATATCAATTCCTCTTCATTCACGGGTTGTCTGGCGAACACAGAGCGGACTCTAGCGGCTCTAGACAATGGCGCCGGTGGAAAGGGGGAAAGGTAGTTGGCCGCCAGTCACGCACCCACTTGTGTTCGGCTTTTGTTATCCAAGGGAAACGGACTTGAAGTCTCCCGAACGAGCAGATTGGTACTTCATCCACTCTTACCCTTTCATTTCATCCTGAGCCAGACCAGTGCTGCTCGTCACCACTTCCCAACCAAATTCTTTTGCGCAAGCCCGCTCTCTAATCATCATGTTCGGCCAATGCTCTACCGCTTTCACTCTCTGCCTTGCCCCGATCCTGTCCTTTGCGGCAGTGTTGCTCGTGGGATTTTCCTACCTTTCCTTTACGGTGATCCTGCACACCCAGGCGTCATGGCTCACCGTAAATCCATCTCCAAATCTTTCACCGAATTGATCGAACGATAACATCGACGGCCCTTCCTTGTTGCCCTCCGGAGGACACTTTATCTCGTGTCGACTGTCCGCGAGGCGGAACTGTATTGGATTGGCTTGTACTTTGTCACTCTGTCGTCTGCGCTCAACATGGGATCAGTGAGTTCAAGGGACCCTCAGCGTACACCGCTCGTGACGACCTTTTTTGCTACCGTGGCGACTGTCGGGTGGCCGTTGGTCCAAGCACTCTCTATTCCTTTTGTGATAAAAGAAGTCCTTCTCTGTGCTAGGGGCATAGTTCTGGCCAGCGATAAGTCGAAATGGATGGTCAGGATATGGCTGCGCTTCTCGCGATCTGCGGCTGGCTACCTCTGCCTTGGATGAAGCGTATTTCGTATTGATATCAGCTTCTCTCCATTCACAGATTTCACGGCATGGAACACGAAGCGGATTCCAGCCCAGACAATGGCGCTAGTGAACGGTCACAATAGGTGGACAATGGGTCAACAATGGAGGAGGGCAAAGCTGATTGCCCGCCAGTCACGTGCCGGCTTGTATTCGGCTGCTATTGTCCAAAGGCAGTGGTTTTAAAGGCCTCCCAAACGGACAGACATTCATCATCATTCCCCCCTACCCTTTCATCTAGTCCTGAGCTAGCCCAGTGCTGCTCATTGTCACTTCCAGTTTTTTCTCTCTATTTCTCTATCGCGCAAGGCCGCTCTTTCATCATGCTCAACCAACTTTCTAACGCCGTCGCTCTCTACCTTGCCCCAGTTCTGTCCTTCACGGCAGTGTTGCTTGTGATATTTTCCTACCTTTCCCCTACGGTGATGCTGCAAACTCAGGTGTCATTGCTCGTTGTAAAACCATCTCTGCTTTTGTTGCCGAATCCCTCAAACGATAAGATCGATGGACCTTCCTTGTTCTTGGGACCTCTTGGTACGTCTGTTTGCCATGCGAAAGAATCCAGTGATATTCAACTCGCGTTACAGGATCCTGTTCAAGAACCAGTAACAGCGCGGCCGTCAATTGCACGATGCCTGTTCTGAGCCCCACCTACGGTTTGTTTACAATCATGGCAAACAAGTGAAATCCGATCTCATTGTCCACGTAGACCTTTCTGTACTTCCAAGTGACGCATCCCGTTGGTTGTCCGCCCCTACGGCTACCACACCCGCATTCATCGGCGTTTCCCTGGGCTTCTCAACCATCTTCTTCGTTCTGTTCAGCCTGATCGCCTTCCGCGCGAGGCTCGGCAGGTTGGGTGCCACGCTCGAACGGCCCATGGTCCAGCGGGCCTGTGCTTGGATCGGTATCTTTGGTTTCATGATCGGTACGTCATCGAAGTTTCTCGCCCCTACATCCTCAGACTGACATAAGTTCCTCAGGCATCTCCTCGTTTTTGATCATTCGCTTGTGGTTCGGGAAAGCGGTTGACGATTTCAACCAGAGCATCCAGCTCGAGGGTGATAATGGCGCACATCTGATGGCTGTCCTTTCCAACGGTTTCACCATGGTGTGGGTTGGCTATGTCTTCCATGCTATCCCACTTGTCTGTGCGCTCGCGAAAATCCACATTACTGCCGCCCCCCCTGGCAAGGTGTAAAACTAATGGACGGTGGCTTTTTCCTCCAATCTTGCATACCTCATTCATGTCATGAGCTGCATACTAGTGTATCTATTAGAATTTAGGATATATTTTAGAGTAAGTCTAATGAAACGTTCGACATCCGGAACTATACGTGCTTTTCTGATTATGGAACCGTCGCGAAGTGCCATCCATCGGCTTCTAGGACTTCCACAGCCTGTTCGGCGTCGGCTGTGGGAACCAGCATGTAGTCGGTGTTCCTGTAGGTGTCAAGACATCAGTACCCGCGAACTGGCTTTCATCAAACGCCAGCCCAAACCAAGTTGAGAGAGCAAAGATTGGGATTCCAGCAGCCTTCAGCGGGATAGTAAAATTACACATGACGCCAGTTATCGCTGTCGGCGGTCAATTCAGATCATTCAAAATACGGGAGCATATCCCAAACGGCGGCGGGGGAGGATGGGGGGTTTACCGGGATCCATAGGACCTGCAATTTTTATACACCTCCAAAGGGGGACTCCCTCGCTCAAAAACTGGACTTGGGGGTCGTCTGTCACTTCCCCCACGACGGAGTATTCTTCGGGCGTTCGAGTGATCGAGAAGAATCCTTGTCCGTTGAGGAGCGATAACGTGGTTCCTGAGAGTTCCGGGAGCTGTTTCACGAAATAGATGTTGGGGAGTAAGGATAGATGAAAGGCTTTGTGGTTGGAAGGGGGTGGCATGGTGGAGGAAGGTGGGGCGTGGATTGAAATATTCGAAGAAGATCCTCGGTTTTCTACGATTGGGGTATCTTTGATTATTCAACAGTCCAGGGTCTGAAGGTATCGAGCGCGGAGTCCGGTCTCTAGCGTTTTGTAATGTACCCAGAGGGCTCCTGGCTCTCGAAGACTCGGATGTATCGCTGACCATCGTTGGCCGCGGCGGGAGCAAGGTACGGGCGTCTACTTCCGCTCCGAATGCCGACCCGACCCATCATGATCATGACGATTCCCACCTTGCCCACCGCTCCCCAAGTCGACGAATGTCTTTTTGCCTCTGATACGCACCGTAGCCAGCTCTCACCCCTTTTATCACTCACTGACCCCCCACCCTCGGAAACCCTTTGCACGTCGACCGTCTGGTAGCTATACCGCGACGACATGACCGACGTACAAACCATCCGGTTCCGTCGGCCTACGAACAAATCGAAAGAGAGTCCCGCTGAGCCGCCAAAGCGTGTAGATAGGCATGCGGGTATGCTGCAAGACCAGCTTCGTAGGTGAGGGGTGTGCCGTCCCTCGCAACCTTTTTTACCACCTGGCTGACTTTACCGCAGAGCTCAGAGGGCACCTTGGTGTCCGAGCTTCTCGCTGGCGGTGCGGATTTTGCTTCTTGTAAGGTTCTCTGCTGCGATGTACTCCAACATCCAAGATTGCGACGAAGGTAAGGGATGGGTTATGGTGTACGTAGGCCGTCGCTCTACTCACCCATCTTCCTAGTGTTTAACTTTTGGGAACCGCTTCATTATCTCGATCGTGGTCACGGATTCCAGACATGGGAGACTTCACCACAATACGCGATTCGGAGTTACGCGTACATCCTTTTGCACCTCGTTTCGGTCAAAATTCCTGTCCTGCTCTTTGGAGACCAAAAGGTGGGTCGGTCGGGTAGATTCGCAAAGATCAAGCGCTGACGGTTTCTGTTAGAGGATTGCTTTCTTCGCCCTCCGGGGGACTCTTTCTCTCGTGTCGACTCTGTGCGAGGCGAAACTGTATCGTATGGTCCTTGAGAAGGTCAACTGGCGGGTGGCAAGGTATATGCTCTTCATGATGATTACCAGTTCCGGGATGTGGAACGCTTCAGTGGGTATGTCGAGTTGGCTGTGGAGTCAATCGACCCTGATTGACTCTCGATATGTTCAGCTTTCCTTCCTTCCTCCTTTGCGATGTACTTCGTCACTCTAGCATCTGCGTTCAACATGGAACCAGCGAGTTCAAGGAACCCCCAACGGACACTTCTCGTGACCTCTCTATTCGCTACCGCGGCGATCGTCGGCTGGCCGTTCGCTCTAGCGCTCTCTATTCCGTTTGTGATAGAAGAACTCTTTCTGTACGCAGGGGACATAGTTCCTGCCGCTGACAAGTCGAAGTGGATGGTCAGCAGGTGGTTGCGCTTCGGGCGGTCTGTGGCGATAGCTTCCTTGATATTCGTTGGTCTCCTCCAAGCGTCTAAGCTTGGCCCCGCTGACCTCCTTCATTAGGTCCCAGTCATAGGGGTGGATTCCATTGCGTACGGGAAGCCCACAATCGTTCCCTGGAACATCATTAAATACAACCTGTTCTCTCGGGCGAATGGGAAGGGCCCCGAGTTGTACGGAACAGAACCGTGGAGCTACTACTTCGTGAACCTTGTCCTCAATTTCAACGGCTTGCTTCTCCTGGCGCTTGGATCACTACCGGCCCTCGTGGTCACTTATTTCGTCGACGTGAAACGTTTGGGGGCATGGAAGGCCGAGCCCGAGCGTTCGAGCCCATTCACGTTACTTGCGACAAGGCTTCTGCCATTATATGTTTGGATTGGGATTCTTACTGCCCAACCGCACAAGGAAGAGAGGTTTATGTT